AGAATGACCTCCCTTGACCTTCTGGTCACACTCTTCCCTACGCAGCCCAGGATTCCATTTCACAGTTTCACAGCAAGGCAGGGATGTTGTCTCTTCCCTGCCCCTTCAGGAACTTCTTGGATGTGATGGTGGTCTACTGAGGCCCCCACAGATCTCAGAGAAACTGAGTTTTCAACCTGTGATCTAAGGAAACTGTGTCAATCTAGGTTTTAAGAGATAACAGTACTACAGCAGCGTGCCCTGCTATCGAGACTGTGACGACTGACATACTTACACATAAGTGCACTGAATTTTCAACCAGAAGCATCTGACACCATAACAGTTGGTACGGTTAAGTGTCTAGCTAGTGATGAGGGGTATGCAATGTCATTTCAAGATAGTGGGAGAAAATAAACTGGAGGGAAAGGGACTCTCCCAAGCTTGAATTTACCAGCAGCTGTGTAGCAGTCAGACCCGGCTTTCTGGAGGGACACCCAACTGACAAATATCTAACTGCTGCCTGACTTGCCATCAGTGGGCACCTGGCTAGCTTTAGGTGCTTTGCAGAGCTGTAGCCTCAATTGGTTTAAAAACAGGTTGCCCAGAGAAGCTGTGGCTGCCCCATCTCTGGAGGGTTTCAAGGCCAGGCTGGATGGGGCTTTGAGCAACCTGGTCTGGTGGGAGGTGTCCCTGCCCATGGCAGGAGGATTGGAACTCCATGATCTTTGAGGTCCCTTCCAACTCTAACCATTCTATGATTCTGTGGTTTAGGCAGACTCAGGATTGGTAATCCATCACTGCTGCCTGACAAGCACTTAGTAAAGATGATTAAGTAAGTGCAGTGTTCTTAGACAGAATGTACTCAGCTAAAAAAAAAATATCCCCAAGTAAGTCCTAAAATTATTTTTTGTTCTATTGGTTGCAAACTTTTCATCTCCATGCTTTCGCATCACACAAATCCTACAGAGGCAGTTTGCTCTGTGCATATGTATGTTGTCTTCTTGCTCTGTCCACAGACAGGTGTGGGCTTGAATTAGATGCAGCTGTTCTGGTCAGTAAAACAGCTAAAAGTCTAACTGGATTCAAAAAGCTTTGCAGAAAGTATATCCTTTTGCACACCAAAGGGGCTACTGGGGCAAATCTATTGACAGATGACAGCAGCAAGGCCCTACTTTGAATTCTTATGCACTATACTCTGACATGACTTCATCTGAAACCTTCTATTTTTTAGTAGTGGTGTAGGAAAAAAGTCAGATGGGGACATCAAAGAGGTGTTTATGAATTATAGGAATAAAGCAAAAAGTGCTGATTCTTTCTTCTTTTTGAGGAAGTTGCCTCATGAAATTAAGACCAAGCAAGCGCATGCTAAATATAGCAAACACTTTTGTTGTCACTACGAGCATCCTACTACAAGATGTGATGGAATAATGTGTGATTGTAGGTTTTTGGTGGCCATCTCTCTCCTGATAGAGACATAAAGTTCGCGGTGATCCCCCACGCAAAGAGGAAATCACTTCCAACTTATATGTTGTGCTACACCAGCTCAGCTCCTAAAGGCTTACGGTGTCACAGACTGTTTAGGGTATCTGGTTTGGATCTGCCCAAACACACAGGCAAGCAAACAGCACTGAACGTGTCCTGTAACAGGCTTCAAGGGAATGACTCACACTTCAGAGTCAGAACATGAGATGTCTTATTAGGACTTCTTCTGGAAAGAGGAGAAACTACTACGAGCAGCTAAAAAAATCAGTAAAAAACCAGCTATGTGAGTCCATGTGGGAAGTACACATGTGGTTGTGGTGAATGTCGTTACACTCCTGTGAAGATTTACAGACTGCTGAATTATTGCAATCTATTCTTCCAATTCCGATACTACATGAGGAAGGTGACAGATATCCATGTCCCCCACTGAACTACCATTGATTGAAAACTGAAATTTGTTGCTTTTAGCAGTAAAAAATGAATCTTTCTCCTGTAGTACGTTTCCTTGCCTTTTTTCTTCTGCCTGCTGTAGACAGGTGCTCATAGAGAACGGCACCTTGTCCCCAGGATTGCACTAACAAATGTGGGCAGGTATTCTCCCAGCAAGTTGGGCAACAACCTTCAATGCGCTTTGTGTACCAACTACACTCTGATTCAAAACGTAGATGTGTACTCGATTCTAAGAAGAAAATTAATAGCCAATTAAATTACCAGGCTAAGTATGCTTTCCCTGGGAAAGGAATGCATGCTGAAAACCGCTGAATTGGGCATCCCTAACAATCCCAGTCCAGATATATGGTGCTTTGGTTGTTCTGAAAGCAACACCTACTGTTGAGAGGTTGCATTTGTTTGGTTTTTGTGAGGTGGGGGTCACTTCCCCTGAGACGCAGGACGCAGTTTCTGCATGTTTACTATTTAGCTAAAAGAAGTGCTTCTGGTACAAGATGATTCTTGTTTACATTTCTCAGTTTGTTTTCTCTTTTGTTTGCTTGTTTTGTTTTCAAATGTTCCTCATATTAATATGTCTTCTGGAACTGCCTGGCCTACTTTAGGCTAAAAATAGCTGTTGTTGCTGCTGCTGTAACTCCACACAAGCCACACAGCACCCACACTGGGAAAGAAAACCTCATGCCCTGCTGAGCTTCCCCGAAGTGACAAGCAGGTCAGAAACCCATATGACCAAAAAGCAGAGGAAAAACAAATCCTGCCTTCTCGCTCTGCTTCCACTAGGCTTGCTGGCGATGCAAAGTGGGGAGACAGCAGAAAGACATCTTGATGTTTTGGGTTTCCCTTTGCCTCCTCCACACCCACCAAGGACAGCAGATGCTACTTCTCTTATGGAGAGAGGAGAAAGAAAAGATGAATCTGCAGGGATGCGAAGCTGCAAAGAAGACGTTTCCCTGTTAGTTTCCGAGCAGTCATGCTTCAAATTAACTTAAATTGATTGATCTGTTAGATAAATATCAGCCTTTGGGTACGATCAGACCAAGGCTGCCCATGCTATTGCGTTGTTTAAATGACTGGGAATACCTCTCTGACACCTTCAGTGGGCTGTGCTGGTGCTCCTTCTGCCTCACAAAGGAAAAGGCCTCTGGATACACAACTGTGCTTTCCTCTGCATTGCAGCAGACAAAACTTAATACTTCTCAGCCTTAAGAGGATCACTTCACACTACTTGTCTGCTCGTGCTCCTCAGCCCACGTGGCCCACGAGGCATGCTGGCGAGACGCAAACAGGCTGGGCTTTCTGGTGCTCTTGGGCAAGTGACCCCAGTCACAGTGGCCATCTGGGCACTGTGCTCCCTGTCTGTGAAACGGGGGGGTGGGCAATGAGGTACCCAGAAACGCTTCTGCAGCTACTGTGGACACTGAGGAATGAACACACCGTTGCTCCACAGATAAAAACTGTGTCTTCAGGATTTACTCTGGCTTGTGGATGTTATTTTTGTTTTCCATGTTATGTTTATGGCATATTGGCAAGAGCGCTTCGCACACCGGTGGGAAGCCAGGACTCTGTGTTCATTTGCAGGGGAGTAGCTCCTGGGTCACCTTTTCTGTGCCCTGCCGAGTAGGAATTGGGCTGGAGCGGTCCCATTCTCGCTTCCAATACCACCTCTGGGACCAGGAGGCAAACCCGAGCCTGACGCAGAGCAAGCACAAGCTCCTCACAGAATCACTGAATCTTCTAGGTTGGAAGGGACCTTAAAGATCACCTTGTCCAACCATCAACCTAACTTTGACAAAAATAAACACCTGCACAACAAACAAAAAGCAACAGCATCACTAAAACCATATCTCCCAGCACCACATCAACCCGTCTTTTGAACACCTCCAGGGATGGTGCCTCAACCACCTCCCTGGGCAGCCCATTCCAAGGTCTGATGACCCTTTCGGTGAAAAAATTTTTCCTAATATCTAGCCTGAACCTCCCTCCTGGGTCTCCTCCTCGAGCTCGGAGGGGACAGCTCGCTGAGACGAGGTGATGTCGGGTACCGGGGGGGCTCAGCTCCCGCACGGCAAGAGCTGCTCGGGCGGAGGGGACAAGGCGGGATTTGGGGTCCGAGCCCACCTCCCCGCGCACAGCCCTGGCCAGCAGCGCTGCCCGGTGCCCCCCGCCCGCGGGATGAGGCTGGGGGGCAGGAGGCACCGGGGGCTGGAGCCCACCCCGCTGCCCCGGCCGTGCCCTGCGCTCCCGGGGGGCTCCGGCCCGGAGCATCCCTGGGCTTCGGGGCACCAGCGCCGTTACGGGGCTCCCGGACCTCCCCCTCCCCGTGTCCCCTTTGCTCCCCGCGGTCACTCTCGTCCCTCCCCGCCCCCCTTTTTTGGGGGTGGCAGCCCAGCCTGCGGGGACGGCGCTGCGGGCGCTGGAGCGGGATGCTCCCCGCCGCGGGGAAGAGCGGCAGGAGGGGGCTGCCGGGCCGCCCCCAGCCCCTGCCCGCCGGCCGCCGGACGGCAGGTAGCGATGTCCCGGGGACGGGCCCGCGGCGAGCGGGAGCGGGGGGAGCCCCGGGGACCGGCGGCTCCGGCACAAAGGCGGGCGCCGGGGCCGGCCGGGGTCTCGGCAGCG